TATCATAATTCTCTTCTTTGATTTATTAATGGCAATAACATTAATCCTAAGAACTTGACATAATTGCGAGATACAATATCATTATTAAACAACATTTTTATTTATTTTTTATACAAATAAGGGTTAATTAGCTCAATATTAGTTTTAGAGTAGATAATTAGGAAACTAACATATGCATAATGAAATTTAGGTATTTAGCAGAGAAAAAAAAAATTTGGACAAAATTGTCCTTGTGAAAATTTGAGAAAGAAAAGTGGTAAAAATAGTCAAAATCTTATATTAATGAAAGTAGTCAACATCTAATTTTAAAGAAAGTAGTCAAAATCATTTATTTTAAGAAAAGTAGTCAAAACTTCTAAAAATCTTTACATAGACACCATTATTTTTTTTCGATAGAATCAATCACTCTTTGAAGGAAAAAAAATTGAGATTGATCTTGATTGATGCAAATCAATCTTGATTTAGTTATCTCATATGCCAATATAGTTTTTTATTTATTTTTTATGTTGTTGTAGTTAGCTAAAATATCTACTTTGTATAATTGACTATAGTTTTACTTTTTATGTTGTTGTAGTTAGCTAAAATTTCTACTTTGTATAATTGACTATATTTTTACTTTTTATGTTGTTGTAGTTAGCTAAAATTTCTACTCTGTATAGTTGACTATATTTTTATTTTTATGTTGTTGTAGTTAGCTATTCAAATTAATAATATAGTGAATTATATAATCTTTACAATAATTAATTCAATTGTAATAATATAGTTAACTATGTAATCTTTATAATTGTATATCTTTTAATCTATGTTTATCAAGATAGCTACTAGATAACATTTATAATTAAATATAGTTAACTAAGCAATCAACTGGTTATATACGAATAGTTAGCTATTCAATCATGTATAGTGGTAAAAAAAAAAGTTCACTATGTAAAACTTTGCATTATCTAGTTCGATAGTTATACTTCGTAGTCAGCTATACCATTCACCTTGACGAAACAGTAGATATTCACCTTGTTATTGACGGGTTTAAGAACAAAACAATCACTTAGATAATTTCGGATCTTTCATATCAACGAGATAGACAAAGTATTTG